CGTTTGGGGTCCCTTAATTGTGCGAAGTTGCGCGGCCGGCCAAAAGAATAATTCTGAGAAAAAAATAGTGGAAATAAATAAGCCTAATTTGCTTTGAAAGCACGGCAAGCAGTAAGTAATTAGTTTAGGGTCCAAATCCAAGATGTCCTTTGTTACTTAGACTAGAACCTCTTTCCCAGAGCTTCCAGAACCTCAAACTTCCGGGTTTAGGGGACCTCAAAACTCCAGAATTTTAAGGTTCCAAGCGTCCAAAACTATCGATTTCTTATATGACCGCTTGTTCGAAGAGGGCTACCAATCATTTTTGCTAAGGGGTAGTCCAGCAGGCGACCGGATCCTCAATAATACGAATGTTTTGGGGGTGCTCAATTATCCGTCAAATCCGCGACGATCTAAAAATAGCAGAGCCTTTGAATTTTAAAGGCTTTCATTTAAAGCCAAGCTTCCAGGATCTCAAGGGTCTTTACCTTGAAACCTCAGAATTCCGGATTCTAAGGCTCCAGGCCAGGTCCAAAACTATAGATTTCTTATGAGTCCGCTTATCTAAGGAGGCCTACCAATCATTTTTTGTGAGGGGTAGCCAGCAGGTAGCCGGATCCTCAATAATAAGAATATTTTGGAGGAGCTCAATTATCCGTCAAATCCGCGACGGCCTAAAATAACAGAATCTTGAGAATTCAAAAGCTTATCATTTATCCATCCTATTGAATTTCATCTAAACCTAGGATCCGAGCCGATCCTGATCCATCCTAATGAATTTTAATTAAAATCTAAAAACCATGGATTATTTGGGGGGGTCCCATTTTTATTTGGGGGAGGGAGGAGGGGGGGGGGGCGCCCCCATACTAATCAGGATCCAATATTATCTGTCTACGGGGATTTATGCGCTCCCCCGAACCGCCGCGCAGCAGATAATCCAAGAGAGATAAATGAGGAGGAAAGACCGGGCCGGATGCGGGGACCGCGCGACCAAAAATCTCCCAAGATTTCGAATCATTTCTTTCTCTTTGGCTATCTGCTGCTCGGTGGAACGTATAAGCCAGAGACGGACGTCTAAAATCTTTCAGAATCTATTGGCTGGCCATTTTTGATCGCGCCATTGTTCCGATTTCGCATGCCGATGAATCCGCTATATCTGAATAGATCTTTGAAACGCTAGCCTCAAAGAAACTATCATTTTTCGCCGTTTGCACACTGCCCTGTAGTGCTATGCGTCTTGGATTCTGTTGTGTGCTGAATGCAAGGCAGCGTATGGAGATGAGTGAATAGAAAATATATCTTACCATAACCTATTATTGAGCAGGTGATGCGGTCTGAGAATCGAAGGTAGATGGGATTTGGTCGAAATATCCGTGGTTGGGACGTTTGCGAGTCTCCAACCAAGAATCTTCATTTCGAGCAGGTGTGCGTGCTCTTTTCAGCTTTGCATGCTCAAGGAGCAAAACCTGGAGCATACAAAAGCATACACTTCTTCCGACTGCTTGAAGCAAAACGATTTGAATACTGTCGTCTATGAATTTTCAATCAGCTATATTAACGCATCATAACCCGTCTCATGTCCGGACCTTATACGTCCAGATTTCGAATAGCTATCAGCTTTGCATATTCAAGCGTCAAAATATCGGTGATAAACTTCTTCACGCTGCTTGAAGCTAGACGTTTGGAAATTGATTATTTGCTCTCAGATTCTAGTGAAACTCACCTCTGAAACGCCTTCTGCGTGTTCCTAGGGGCTCCAAAATCTCGCAGATTTTAGAGCCCTTCCGAAAGAGGCCCTAAAAATATTCGAGATTTTTGGCGCGGGCGGCCCGACCAAAAATCTTGGAATTTTTTGTCGCGCGGCCCTTGCCTCCGGAGCGGTCTTCTGCGTGATTTATCTCTCTTTGGCTGTCTGCGCGACTGCTCGGCGGAGCGCATAAAGCCGGGACGAAGAGCCAATAATTTTTCAGAATTTATAGGATGACCATGTCTTTCCACGGGGATTTATACGCTCCCCCGAACCGCCGCGCAGATAGCCCAAGAGAAATAAATGAGGCGGAAAGACTAGACCAAAAATCTCCCGAGATTTCGAACCATTTCTCTTTCTTTGGCTATGTGCGCGGCGGTTCGGCGGAACGTCTAGGCCTGAGGCAGAGATCCAAAATCTTTGACTTTCAGAATCTATAGATTGATTATTTTTGTCATGTGCGGTCTTATATATTGATTGTTCGTCGGATATTAACGAAGAGCCAAAATTTTTCAGAATTTAGAGGATGACCGTGCTACCCCGAATCTTCGCTCAGATAATTCAAGAGAAATGAATGAGACGGAAAGATTGGACCAAAATCCTCCTGAGATTTCGAATCATTTCTCTCTTTTTGGTTATCTGTGCGGCGGCTCGGGAGAACGTATAGATCCGGGATAGAGATCCAAAATCTAAAATCTTTCAGAATCTATATGCTGATTATTTTCTCATTTACGATCTTATATATCGATCATTCGTTGGAGTTCGCTCATCTACGATCTCAAATATTTTCCATTGCTATAAATGACGGATCAATCCTAATTATCTTCGAAATAAAAAGATTCCTTCACGGATATCCAAATTTGGTTTCATATATATATAATGACGAATTTTTGCGGAAATATATTTGAAATATTCAATAATCATTGAATTCTCAAAAGATTTCTTGATCTATTCTTTCGGATCCAAAATTCCAATATATGCCGAGAAGATGAATTAGAATTGGAATTTATATATATTCTAAATTCCAATATCGAATTTTGATTTATTTCGATCTATATTAATATTTATATTTTAATAAGATTTATCATCTTTTCTCTTTTGAATATATAAAAAAAAGAAGAATCATAATTTATAATCTTCTTATCCAATATATAAAATGATCTTTCTATAATTTTTTAAATCAATCCTATTCATTTTATATAAGATAATTGAACGGAATCAAATAATAAATCATTGATATTATCATCTTGGCAATAGAAGAAATCTTATATCATTCTTCCTATATAGAATTCTTATATCTCCATATCCCCTCTTTAATATTGATATTGAAAACCTCCAAAAGCTAATTTTTTCCAATGACGGAAATCTCGTCCCGCCTCAGAAAAATCAATTTTGAATATTTAAAAGGAGATGCAGGGATACGTCGTCACGTCATTGAAATTATTTATTATATAGATGGCATAAGATTTCTTCTATCTATATTCCTTTAAATTGGTAAATTGCATCTGGGCCTCAGATAAGAGATGTAAATAGATCTATAATGATGACCCAGACGGCAATAATATGTTCGGCTAGCTTTCTTTTTCCTCGGAAAAATGATATTTCGGTATTTTGAATAGATTTCTAGATTTTTAATATAAAATCATAGAAATATGAAATATGTATATATAAATTCTATGAAATATTATTTTTTATAATATTTTCATAAAGATAATGATAATATTATTTATAATATTAATTTAATTTTGATAGTGCGTAAGATATATATTTCCTGCTGAAAAAAAAATAAAATAAATATATTGGGGAGATTATATCATTATTTCTATTATAATATATTTCAAATACGAAACTACTATTAATCGTAAATCTTCAGATTTAAGATAAGCAAAGAGAACCTAAGAGAAGAATCTCCGTCAAATTCGTATCCATCATTTAGAAGAGATATAAACGAAAGAAATCAAAATAATCTCGTATATTATCATAATAGAAGAAAAGACGCACGACGTCAAGTCCCCTGCTCAAATTAATAAATATCATCTAGCTCTACTATTACCGTATAAGATTCTATTAGAAACCTATTCGCGTTTCAATTTCGCATTGGGATCATTTTTAGAAATTATAAAAAAAAGAAATCCTACCTCATTTTTCCTACGGAAGTCCGTGCCCAATTTTTATTTTTAATATTGAAAACCTCCAGAAGTCCGTTTATTCAAGTAATAGAAATTTTATATCGTCTCAGATAGAATAAATATTAATATTAAAACATAGTTATTATTACTTATAAAGATGCCATAAGATTTCCTCTATCCTTATATATAATATAAAATTATCTATAAGAATTTATAATATGTCATAGCTAATCTATATAGAAAATAATGAGAATAATATATATTTTTAGACCATCATTTAAATAATTATTCATGAGAAATATATGATGAATCTATATCTATTTTATCCAGAATATGAATATTATCTTTATCCTTTTCCAATTTATATCATGAATATAATATCTATTCTTATATATATTTCCTATGATCGATAGAAAATTATATCCGAAATTTTCCGAGATCTAAGAATATCATCTTATTATTTCTGCGATTCCAGTATGCTGGCATCTATACTCATTCCCAGAATATGAGAGATGATATAGAAACGATAGCGAGTTTCCATAAGAACGCCGTCGGAGTATGCGAAGTATGAAGAAAATAAATATCCCAAACCGCGCCATCCCAATTCCCATGTTAATTCTCTCAGCTCGAACGCCGCTCCAAATTTTCTGCAAATAGGAAATTGATGAATAAACCTGATTTATGGCTCGCGCAATTTGCAGTCGCCAATTGCGAGGTTTCCTTCCAATCTGCGCCAGCCATGTCCTGGCAGATCAAGATTTAAATTTTGGAGCAGGTGCCGTTGTTCGACGTTTTGGGATCAAATTCCTCATGCTGCACGGGACAATTTTGCTTGTCGACAAACAAGGAAACTCAAACAATTTTGAGAAGAACGTGTAGGCATAAATTGCAGCAGAAGGCTCTGACATAGGACCCATGCTTTTTACATGCGCCGGCCTAATGCCACAAAACCGGCCTCTGCAACTTTCTCGCGGGCAACGTGCGTGATATCCAGGGCCTGAAGACGAATAATGTGTGGTCAATGGTCAGGGCTAGACCGTGGCAAGCACACGTTTGGGCATTCATGTAAACCCTGTCTCAAATTGAACACGCTCAAGCATGCAACACAAGAAATGGAGACGCCTGAGCGGCCCACGTTGAGGGTCTTATCGGCAGTTGTTCTTGCCGGTGACCAGATCCACGCCACAGCAGGTGACCAACAAGGTGCCCCCCCTGGATGCCTGGCACTTGATGCCCCAAGTGCTGAGATCGAAGGGGCAAACAGGGTTGATCCCGACGTCCCACCAGCCGCATCCGATGGCACCGACGGAGACGCCCAATCTGCACGTGACCCCAGAAGAGCATGAAACGCCACCACTCACGCCCACACCTCCCCACCACCATTCACCTGAGGTGCCAACGGCCATGCCAAAGTTGATGCTTACCCAACCGCTGCTGAACATGCGGCCACTGATGAGCTCCTTGATGCTGCCGCTGTGACCACCGGAGAATCCGAAACTCAAGCCGAAGTTGCCTCCGAAGGACTTGGTGTAGCCCACTGCGTCCCATTTTGAATACTGTCCGAAGCACTCGAAGAATTTCTTCGCCCACCTCACCACAGCCTGCTTCACGCGGCGCCAGACCTTCCTGAGCCAACGTCTTCTTCTGCGCCTCAACCAGCGTCTTCTTCTTCTTCTGCGGCGACGGCGTCTTCGCCGCCTTCGCCGTCGACCCCAACTGCTCTCGTCTTCCACTTCCCCCATTTCAACTTCAGCAATTTCTCCAGAGGTTTTTAGCAGAGCAAGCTGATGAGCATCTTTGGTCTGCAATGGTTCGGGCTCCTCCTCGTCGCTGTCAGTCTCCGGGGACATGGCTTCGTCACCGTGTTCCTCCTCATCTTCTTCATGATGCACCTCCTCGTCTTGCTCCTGCTCATCATCTTCAAGCGAGCGGAGTGCAGCCTTCACGTGATCCCCATCATCGTGAGCTTCGCTATGCGAGTCGGCTGTTGCCTCCTCCTCAACCTGTTGACGGATCTTCTCAAACTGCTCCAAGTCCACAAGACGAAGAGCCCGGCTTTCGTCACTGTCTACAAGCACCTTCATTGTTGGAAGCACCACACTTATGACGCCATCCCGGCCCTTCTCACCGTAGGCAGAAGCAGCTGAGTCCGAAGAAGTTTGAGACGGTCGGAAGAAGGGGAACTGACCTTTGTGCCCGTGCTCCGCAATGAAACGCTGCACCCGCAAGTCCATTTTGACACGCTGCTTGATCTCCAGGCGCATGTGTGCCACAGCATTTGTCTGAAACAGGGCCATGGTCTGCCTGTGGGATGCTACGAACACATCGTGCATGTTGGAGGCATCACAGCCCATCTGCCGACACGGCACATGCCACGTCTGCTGCAAGTGATGCGCGGTGAGGTTCATGGAAGTGTTTGCGCCATGGGCATCCAAAATGCGGTGCGTGTCAGCAACTGCTTGCCGAAGAGCAGCCGACACGGCTAGTATTGCTTCTGTGGATGAGCCCTGCGCATGGCGCGCCTCGATCCGTAGTAACGAGAGCTTGTGAACATTTGCATCTGGGTTCACCACTTCAACATCATCGCATCTGTACTCGAGCGGCAACTCATCTTCCCCAACCTTGGTGTGGCTCTTGTCTTCTCGGGCAAGATGAGACATCAGCTCTGGCCACGTGATATCGTCGAACTGGGCAACCTGCTCCATGATCGACGAGTAAGCAGCCATGGGAATGTCCTTGCCAACTGCGGACTGCAGGAGACATGTTGCAATGGTAACGCACCTCTTGATTGTGCTCTCTGTCTGGAAGGGGCAATACTTCTCGCCATCTCCATCATTCATTCGCTCATGCAGCACGGAATAGAAGCCCGTGACTTTGTCGTAGAGCAGCGCTAGGTCCGAGTCCACATTGCCGAACTTGTGGCTGATGTTAACCAACTTGTCTTGGTCACTGATCCAGCCAGAGTAGTCGGACAGGTTGACAAGGACGGTTGGCAGGGCCGTGCCGAGTTCCATCCATGGGTTGGGCTGCAACTTCTCCGCATCCTCCTCCATCTCTTCTTCTTGGGTCTCCTCTGCCTCCTCATCCCGGTACTTCTGGATCTCCGACTCGTCTAGCATGGTGATCGCACCCTCGGTTGGGATCAGATCCACACATTCCGGGGCCATGTAGAGATGGCAAAGGCCGCTGGCAGGGTAGTAGACAGCTGCATGACATCGCTCTTCAGTGCACTCGTCTGGTGCCCAATGGTCCGCACACTTCTGCTGGCACTCGGACTGTGTGAGATCCCTCCATCCATCACAGCCCTGTTCTGGAAATTCTGTGAAAGATTTCCCAATGCATGCGCCATCGGCGATGGTTGCAAACAAGCGTTTGGGACCGTTGACGTCTGGCGGTGCATGTTTATGCAGCTGCCTCCTCCCATAAGAGCAGGCTCAGCAGCAGCTGAAATAGCTTCATTGATCTGTATGTATTGCTACCGCACCAGCATGCTAAGCGTACGCCACGAGCTGGGGGGAAGTTAGCAAGACCTTGTTGTTAAACTTCGAGCCGACAATATGATTGCACGCAAAGAAGCAGAGAGTCCGTAGTATAATAGGGATCCAACAACCACCCATACGTGGGTTTCTGGAAATTAGGCCTCCCTCTGTTGAAAGGACCCCTTTCCTGGAAACCCCCAGTGCAGGAAGAAGCTGCAGTGCGAGCTGGCTACACGCGGCACACGTTGCCCTCGTGAGTCCGTGCATGTTGGGTGGACATCTCTCTGAAGATTGATTCCACGTTTCAAGGACCCACCACATCCCATCTCATCATGCTCGCAGAGCTAAATGGATACATCCAGCCACCCATGAAAACCGTGCTATGAATAATGCTTCTACAACTACTACTAATCATCGTACTTATAGCAGTCATAATTCAGAGCCCCACTTCACATGTCAAGCATTATTCAAACCTGCCTTGGCAACGTGGAGGTTATAGACAGATCACTGACCTCACCTAAGCTCAACTGGGTTGCTGTCAAGTAAGTAATTATAATGTAGGGCTTCCTTATTACAGTTAGAATTAACTTCGTTAACGGCAACCCAGTCAAGTCTGTGCAGGCCCTAACTCCAGGCGTTTGAACACTTGTGCTCATGCTATGCATGCCGCATGATGTTGTTCTACCGTACTTCCACACAATTCTCAATATTCAGGGTCCCCTATATATCCCCATATAACCCTACCTTCTGTATCTTTTTCCATATTCTTGTCCATTTGATTCTCCATTGCTGCGGTATATCTTTCTTCATATGCTAATTTCCCAGGATAGGGCAAGCCCGATGTAGACCCTAAAATACTACAACCCTTATCATGCGAAACCCCCAAAATTTGCACCCCTAAACCCTAAACCCCTAATTTTGGGAAACCCCCGTATATCTAAACCCCAAACCCTAAACCCCAACCCTAAACCCTAAACCAAACCCTAAGCTGGAAGGCTTTTGTCGAGGCCCCAGGTGAGGTGAGGAGATCCAGCAGCTGCCCGCTTTGAAGCATCAGCTGTTTGCTACCTGCCTTTGCTAAGGTAGGTTTGGGGGCCCTATAAAATTTATTCTTACGGCTCTATAAGGATTTTAGAGGTATTCAATGGCAGTAGACATCAAGAATTCTTTTGAAACCTAACCCTGTTTGGTTGCTAGGTAAGCAAGTTTGACACGTACATCGGCAACGTTGGTAACGTCTCCATACAAACTTGACAGCTGTCCTCTATCTTCTTGATTCCTGCTTCCTCGCATGGCGTGACCAAACTGATCACCACACCCCTGCCACTGAAGTAATGCAGGCCGCGAGCGCGGTGCTGGTAAATTTCGCCACTGTCCGCGACGTCGAAGTTGATGACGACGCGCACATGTGGAAAGTCATAGCCCCGCTTTGCTATGTTGTCAGTTGTTACCAGCACCCTGGTATGACCACAGCAGAAATCCTCCAAAGTCTTCTCACGCTGTGAGAAATCCAGCTGCCCATATAACATGGAAACTGAGAAGCCTTCCTCCACGAGCTGGTCGCGCAACCAGCGGACTTTACGGGCAGTGTTGCAGAAAAAAACAAACTGCGAGACCTGGGGGTGGAAAAAAGGTTGCGGGTATGCTTGGGGGTCAAGTTGGGTCTTTTGCTTTAAGAATATCATCTAGGGGAATCTAATGTTGAGAGACACCCACCTCGTTGTTCTCATAGAAGTCGCAGAACCAATCCAGCTTATCCCCTTCGTTGATGTCAACCTGGGTTGCTGTTAAGGAACTTAAGTTAAGTCACCCCAATGGGAATATGTAGTAAATAATAGGTCCCCCCAATATAGGAACCAAATGTAAGTTCCTCAACTTAACAGCAACCCAGCAACACAGAAATGATAGGCAGGAATGGAATCTTTTTGCATGTCCAGCTCCAGGGGTCTACGCATCATCTTGTCTCTGAACTTCCTGACTGCCGCAGGCAACCTGGGTAGTTCCCAAAATTCGGGTCGAATTTTGGTACCCCCTAAATATTAGGTGCCGTAATATAACCCATAACCCGAAAGGGCCCATAATTTTGGCCCATAATTTTGAGAACGCCCCACCTGTCCTTTCCTGCATCCAGGAAGAGTGCCAGCTGTGTAAAACGTGGAAAGTGCTTCATTACGTAGTAGGTCTCCTGCTCTGTGGATTGCCTGGAGCTGTGCATGTCACGAAACTTGCAGAAATCTGGAAATGCTGCAGGATAGTGCCGTGGTGAATTGCAGGAAATGAGAGTCTTGGTTACAGGGACTGTCCTCACTGGGGATACTTGCGAGTTACTGTAGAGGTTAAGGAGTCTAGACTCTCTAAGGGATTTGAAACCCCAGTAGAAATTATAATTTCAGCTAAATATTAGGATTCTAGGTAACAGAAATTAAGAATTACTTTCAGGAACCTTATAGGACTATAGCTCATATGAGCCATATGCAATGTCCCTCATGATGCTTCCCATCCTCAAGTGGCATCGAACCACGCAGCAAACACATCCAATATTTGTCTGGTCGTTTGTCAACATGGCCCCTATAGATTCTTAAGAGCATAAGAGGGGCCCTTAAACCTGCTGTTTGTAATCCCCATATACCCCTCCCAATTTGAGAAAGTCCGAGGCAAGTCGCAGCATCAAATCCACTTCGTCCATTACTAAAAGCCGGCAGGCATCCAACTGCAAATCGCCTCTGTCAATGAGCTTCCTGCATTCCTGGAGTGTAGCAACCACGAGCTGCCCCATATCCATGACGTCTGCAACGTCCATGTTCTGGCCGAGGCTTAAACACTTCAAATAAACTTTCCTGGCCACCTCATTTGTGCGAACCAAGATGACGGCCTGACATTGCCGAAGCGTAATGTTAATGCTTTGGAGAGCTCCCACCACGAAGGCTGTGGTGTTGCCCCAGCCATACATGGCCCGAGCAATGATGTCGCGCCCTGCTATCATAGGAGGAACTGCTTGCCGCTGAATTTTGGATGGGCGCTCAAGGCCAATGGAATAGACACCTCGCAGTAAATTTTCTGACAAGCGCATATCCTCGAAGCACTCGGGAAAGCGCTCAGCGCTCCATCCCTCTTCGTGATCCCTCTGACCATCAACCTCGCTCATGAGGGCTTCTATCTCGGCCTCTTTCATGCTCAATTTGAGGGCTACCTCATCTTCAGTAATTTCGCAGGCATATTCGATGTCTTGTTGCTGCCGCTCGATCTCGGGGCGCTCTTTGAGATAAGCTTCAATGGCGCAGCGAAGCGCATGGTTGGGTGTGAGCTCTATGGAGGGCAAGACTGCGTTGGTCTTGGGTGAGCTGCGATTCCCCAGGCTAAACCACTGTCTGATGGCTGCACGCTCGTAAGTGTGTCCATCGACTGTACACACTGGATCCATCATGACATCGCCTGTAATGCTGCAGCAGAAGTCTTGAGGCACAGGTATACGGTCCATGTTGCACAGAAACGACATGTGGCTATGTGCAGACATGCACGAATTCAGTACAGCAAGCGGCTACTCTGTCCAATGTCCGTTTGAACTCCGGAAAATCGATTCTGTACAGCAGCTCTACTTGTGCCTCTGGGCCCAACTCCAACGGAAAGTGGGTGTTTTTCTTTCAATGGTCACTGATAGTGCGCTCCAACGTCATCAAAGGGAGCGTAGCTACTTCACAGTCCGAAACTCATTATGACAGCGCTCGACCTTTCATCCACTAAGATACGCAACACTGCACTCCTTCATGACGATCCTTTTGATTCCAAGGACAGCATCGGTCGATCTGCTCCTCACAGCTGTTCGTGCTTGCCTCAGCTCAGCGGCTTCTCATCGCTGTTTTGTGTGACGTCGCTCTTGCTTGACTTCTGTTTGCCACGATACTGACAATGGCACGACGTATCAGTACTTTGCCTTCAAAGGAAATATCCGCTCTCAAGCCACCCTTGCTATGCCACCAGGACTACAGGTAAAATGCCTTGTGTTGCCCAAGTAAACGTCTAGCCTGGGGCGTCAACACTGTCACTGCTACATAACTGTCCCGCGGTTTTACGGTTTAGGGTTCGGTCAGACGCATGGAGGAAACTCTCGCCTTCGTATCTTCAAAGGCCTGTGCCCGCGGATCAACGCAAGCCCAATACTGTCCAATGGCTTGCGGTGGAATAGAGGAATAAGGGAATATCTGATCTATTTTAGGGATCATATACGGATGATACTTCCTTATTCCCTACTAACCATCAATAAGATTGTGATCAAGCTTCCTATGGCAGCCGGAGGTTCTCGATACTCCCAGATCCTGTTGACCTGCATTGAGACTCAATTGCCGCTTCCATCGTGAGAGGCCGTGCTTACAGTGGCTCACAGATTGGACAAAACCACTCCAGCGCGCTTGTCACATCCGAATTTATGCTGCACACCGGCACTCGAAACACTACTAAACTATCCAGGCAATGAGGCCTTGTACTTGTCCAGGAACCAATCCTTTCAGCAATTGCTGCCGGGTCACGAAATTGGATTTGGATTTGATGTTGCTGTCTAGGTTTCTTCAGGTGTGAATCCGAATGGATCCATGTGTGACATGGCAAGCTTTTTGCCTACAACCAGGCGACATGGGCAATTTGCTCCGGAATATATGAGAGCCCAAGTCCAGCACAAGCTAAAATTGAGTAGAAATGCTCAGCAATGCTTAGGGCCTTCCCGAAATTAGGGGTATCTTTTGGGGTCCCCATAAAAAGGATGATAGTAGATTGGCGTCGATGCTGCAGTATGGTCCCTTTCTGAATTCCTATTATAATACGGCACCTAATATTCAGAGTACACAAAAATGGGCCATAATTTCGACAACCACTCAAATGGGGATTACAGGGAGAGGATAGGCCCTGTGCAGAAATAATCAGGGTTTAGGGTTTAGGGCGCGAAACAACTCCCAATAACGCTGCCGCTCGTGTCCTCACCATTCTTTCTCAGGAACTCATACACGCCCCCATATACATATACCGTTATCGTAGTTTCCATGTTCTTTTCCATTACCCAACCCTAAACCCTAAACTCCAATATTACCTACCTGGGCCCGGTCTTTAGTTCCCTGGAATGCAATGAGAACAAACAAAAAACGGGGTTTAGGGTTTAGGGTGGAAATGCCGACAGCAACACTGACATTTCAGTTATCCTGCAGTGTCAGCCCTAATCATCATGATCCTAATCTCTTCCCCAAGTACTCGCCCTAGATCCTAAATGCCGCCTCCATAAACCCAAAATCCCAAAGCTACCCCTAAGCCCTCAACCCTACCCCTACCCCTAAACCCTAAACCCTACCCCTTAACACTAACTGCGAACCCGTGAACCCTACCCCTACACCCTACCCCCAAGCCGTAACCCCTAAGCCCTATAATCCCCTCCCCCTAATAATAAACCCCCCCACCCCCCTAATAATAAATACTCCCC